CTGCATGTCGGAGTGAGCCGCACATTGATGGCTCCATCCGGACCATTTGAACATCTTAGTAATATATACTCGAGTTGAGACTGAGTACTTTTAGACACGGACTCAAGGACTTCAAAGTCTCCCCCTCCCGACTTTTGGACCAACCCTACGTCAATAAACTGCTCGGGGTTAGGAAACATGTCATTTATTACGCGGGATACACTTTGCTCCTCGTGTCCGAAAGGTTTTGATCGCATGGATTGTCACAGTATGTCCAAAATTATTTCTTACGTATACTCTCTTCCTTTGAAGGTATGGTAAATAAAGTTTTCAAGATAATTTTATTAGTTTTTATATTTATTGCTAAATACTGAAAAAGGATAAATTCCGATAAACTATATTTCATTAATACTATTGTTGTAAAACAAATATCATTGTTTATATGTGTATGTGTATATATATATATATATATATATTATTTCCTTAATAAAGAACAAATCAAAACAATCACAGGATAGATCAATTTTTTTAAAAAAAAACTTTAGATTGTAATGAGTAATGCGATTTTATAATTGATTTGCTTTCTCGTTGAGATATTTTTTGGATATTTTTTAAATAGTATAAGACAAATTTCTCAAAAACATTTTCAAAATATTAAGTTTGAGACTTATAACTACCCATGAAGAGGTTAATGAGTATGAGATGACTTTGAAAAAAAGCAATTAACCATGATAAGGATGACTTTTTTTTTGCACCCACTCAATATTTGTTTTTTCTTTTTTTGGTGTAGCTCGAATAATCCGATCAAATGTAATTTATATAATAAAATAAACCAAAAAATGATGAATTCAAATTATTTGGACAGTTTAAGAATAATTAATGATAAAATAGTGGTGTTGAAGGATTGCTTCTAGTAATCATACAGGTTTCCATTATAAAAGGTCACGTGAGATGTTCAACTTGATCCAACACGAGTGCCTCCCCTGGAATAATGACACGTCCACTAGAAACAACTATCAATTTGCTTCCCCATAATACCATCTCCACCACTACATAGAATATTGCTCGGTGGACCATTTCTCACCCGCACAGGATCCAACAAAACGCAAAATTATAAAATATTTGAGTGGATCCCCAGCTATCGGCCGAACATAAGATGAGAAAGTTTGGCCCAATATGATCATTGATCTGAGTAATACGGTGTCTAATACTACATTGATTAGATTTTAGGATTAAATTTGTAGTTTAAATGACATAACAATTGACTTAAGTTTCTTTATTCGGTGTCATATCATTTGAGCCATAATAAAAACTCTAAATTTGGTGCTAAGTCATTTGACTTATAATAAAAACTTCAAATAATATGTTGTCTTGTCATTTGAGTTCTAAATTTAGTTTTAAAATTTAGTTAGTATAACATTACTCGTCTAATTAGTATACTTTAAAAATTATATTTCCACTTTCTATTATATATATATATATACCCATTCTAACTTATAATATCTTCAAGGATACTCAATCTATTATAAAAAAATATCATTAACACCCCTTTTAGTTTATATTTAAACATCACTAACACCCCTTCTAGTTTATATTTAAACATCACTAACACCCCCTGTTATTAAACCATCATTTATAACAAACAAAATTCATTCAAAATACAAAAAATGCCACTATATAAACCCCAAACAATTTTTCTACATAAAATTCGATTAAAATTCAATCTAATCAAAATTTATTTTCTACATATTAAAACTCAAATTTATTAAAATTCGTTTTTCTACGTATTAAAATTTGAACCGATTAAAATTCAATTCGGGCTGATTAAATTTAAATTTTTTACGTATTAAAACTTGAACTGATTAGAGTTCTACCTGAGCTATTAGAGCCGATTAAAATTAACTTCGAGTCGATTAAAATTTAGATTTGTTTTACTTATTAAAATGTGTCAATTAAAATTTAATTCAAGTTGATTAAAATTTATTTTTTAGGTATTAAAATTTGAGTCAATTAAAATTTATATTTTTTTATGTATCAAAATTCAGGTCGATTAAAATTCAATGCGAGTTGATTTTTAATTGACTTGAATAGAATTTTAATTGTCTCAAATTTTAATAAAGTAAAAAATATAATTTTTAATCGACTCGAAGTTTAATATTTAAAAAATAAATTTTAATTGGTTTAAATTTTAATGCATAAAAATTTAAAAAATAGAGGAGGTCTCATTGAAGATATACAACTAAAGGGTGTGGTTGAAGTTTTTTCTAAAATATATCATGGGTAATTTAATAAAATTACATTCAAATTAACAAATTTAATCTGACATGGGGTGGCAGTAAAAATTTAGAAAATAAAACATGTATCCTTAAAAATATGATAAATTAGAAAGGGTGCAACTGAAATTTTCTTATTAAAAAAAATATATGAAAAAATCAATTTTTCATAACCTATTAGAATATATTTTTTAAAATCATAATCTTATTTGATAATATAATTTGAATTCCATTACGTCACACCGTGGAACAAACTTTAAAACCTCGCTCATCACATGGATGATTTGATTAAGTCTGGTACATTTCTCATCTTGCACAAACATTGTACGACTTTGGATGATTGAAATCCCAAATATTAAATTTAACTAAACAACCCAAAAAAGAAAAAAAAGAATAAAAAAAGAATGTAAAGATGGGAAAAGAACAAGTTGAAAACGTATAGAACCATGGACTAGTGGTGCCTAGGGAACAATCTTTTCTCCAACTTTTTGATTGGCAACCATTCTTTGCTTGTGAAACCTCAATTTCTTAATCCAATACATACACACAATCACCACAGGCCACACACAATGCACCACGCTAAAAAAAAATAGTAATTTATTCATTTAATTATCTTACAAAATTTTGGGATCATGTAAAGAGGGTTCCCACTAAACCAATGAATTAGGAAAGCTGTGGGTGGTCGGAAAAGAGACCAAAACATAAACTTATAAGTTGTGAGTTTCAAGTATTTTAAGTCGTAAAAGACTAGAATTTAATTGATAGCTATGATTTTCATTTTATCAAATTCATTTAAGGCCTATATTGAAACTATGAGCCTAAAAACATCTATGGCTGAAATAATTTTATGTTATAAAAGAAGCGATGAACTTTAACGAATGGTGGTTGGCTACTTTGTATATTTGTCATAGGGGTTGGAATGGTCAAACCCTTTAACCCATTTCTTTTTGGGATTGTGATTCCTATCCCTTTTTTTTTTTTTCGGGCAGGTGATTGCAATCCCTTTTCGTTCCTCTCTGTAATCAAACAAATTTAATTGATAGAGAAAGGTATGATCAGAGTCAGCAAAAGCGGTACTGTTTCAGCCATTGCGGCACCTTGTCTCTTTCTCTTTAACTTGTTTATTTGTCTAAATTGCATTAGGCTTTAGCTCATCTGACTCTCAAGTTTCGGGGGACCATTCATTGGCCCATGCCCCAGGATCCCGCCGCTTCAGCTGTCAAGGGAGATTGACAAGACAATATCACTCTATTTTAATACTCCCTTCGTTTTTAAATATTTATTATTTAAAATTTTTGTACAGATATTAAAGAAATTATTAAATAACTCTAATATGAATAAAAAATAATTACACAAGATTAAAATATTCTTATTTAATACGTATTAGGAAGGAAAAGAATATGAAAAACACTTACTCTACACTTAATCTATTAAACACTTATTGAAAAACAGAGATAAAGATAAATTTAGAAGAAAAAATATTACTTATACTTTAATTTCATAAAATGACAGATATTATGAAACAAAAAAAATTATATAAAACGACAAATATTTAGGAACGCAGAAAGTAATATGAATATGATAGTAATATAGTATCAAAGTTGTGTCCAATCGTATCATATTCACTGCTAATGTAAATTTTATAATTGGTGATTATGATTTTTTTTTTTTGGATATCTTTGCACCCTTAATATAATATCGTTTTAAAAATTATTATAAAATAAGACTTATTTATAAGTATTAGTCATGACTCGTGTCTGAAAGCACGATAAAATATAAAATTCGAATGTCCAAAAAATCGATCTCATTATATTATTTTTTTTTAAAATATATTAATTACAAATTAATCAAATATTAAATAATTAAATATATGATAGAAATAAGTGATGTAATATTTTTAGGGAAGAAATATATAAAATAATTAAACATATGATAGAAATAAGTAATGCGATTTGACGTTTGAGTCTGACAAAAAAATGATGAGTGATGTAAGTGATTTGTAATGATTTTTAAAAGAAAAATATGACTGGAATAAAATTCAAACACACTCATATTTTATTATTGAGTATATAGACGTTGGATTCCGGCTGTGGCTTAAAAAATGTAAATTATACTTCACTGAAATCGAAATACCACTTGAAAAAAAAAATTGTATTGTCCTAAAATGTAGCGATTAGGCCCAAACAACTGTTACAACTCCATTTTATTACAATATCATTTAATTGACATAATGTACCTCAACAACTTTTGCAGTAATTCTTGGTCATCTTTCAATATTATATCAACAGTATTCTTCACTTCTTTTTATTTTTCTTTCACAATTACATCTTAATTTTTCGATCTTCTAACCTTTTGACTACAACATAAATTTCTAAATATACACAAAGACTCTCAAAATATACACTACATGAAAGTTTTTTACAAGAGTTATGCTAGATGGACTTAAAAATTAAACTAAAAAGTTAGACTTAATAATCTCAACCATTGAATAGATAGTGAATCTCAATAAATACTGAGACCCATAGTAAAATCTATTATTGAAATTATCAAATCTAATTTTTAAGTCTATTTTTTAAGTTCACATAACATTCCTCTTTTTAGTTCACAATGCTATAAGTAAAGGCATTTTTTAATATAATGGAAATAGAATAAAATTTGAAGTAAAATATAACGTAACCACATGATCTCGTCTTAATTGTTTGGAAGAGCGTAACAACCACGAATCAAATAAAATCAAATGAATTCTCTGTTTGTATTAGTCAACAAAATTTGGTTTTGATTTACAGAAGTCCTTTGTCTGTACCCACCACCTACCCAAAAACATACAAACAATTTAGTCCATTGAACAACCAATGGAATCGCATTCACCACAATCAAAACGGCATTATATGAGTAGTCTTTGTATCGTAGCTGGAAAGACAACACTTTGAACCGCCAACCCTAAAAACCTTCAACAAATCGCCGGACATTTGTCGGACCGACGGCGAACAATTGCTCTGCATCAGCAACAATATCTTCGCCAACCCATTGCTCGTCGACAACGACTCTTGTGCCTTCTGATCCCGAAACAAACAGCAAAGACTCCACAGTATCGTCACGGCGTGCTCCGTTGCAGGCGTCGAAACTTTAAGCACCTTCTTCACGATCGCCGGAATACAAAGTTCATCCTCACATATACAATCTCTTCCTTCTCTACATGCTGAAATCATTTCAAGAAGCTTCAAGACCTTTTCGACCACCGAAACGCTCAAATCTGAGTTGTCTGACAACATTTTTCCGAGCACTTTCACAGCTCCGAGGCGGACTAGTTTTACTCTGATCCGCTTTGGCATTGATATACAGATCAAGCTCGCCAAACCCACCTCGATCCCATCTGGGTCCGACTCAGATTTGACTATTCTAAACAATTCGGACAGTATATCACTTTGTTCAGCAATCAAAATCTTTGTCTCCACATCTACAGAAATCAACTCTAAAACCTTAGCCACCGCAGTTCTGGATTCCAAACTTCCTTGTTTTAATATAATTACCATGGAACTCAAGCAATCTTTTTGGGTCACTAATTTTGCTAGCCCTTCTCTATCTGTATAATTTTCCAAAATCAAACTGCACAACTGAATAATTTTTTCTCCTACATACAAATTTTTTATACTGTTATCGAGAATTCTCAAGAAAAGTACCAAGAAGCCATCGGCTGTTGCCAAGAACTTGCGGTTTTCTTGAGACACTTTTGCGAATTCAATCAGTTTCTGTACGTGTCTGAAGCAGATTTCATGGTCGTTTTGATTGTTGTTGATTTGTTGGATGAGGATTTGAGCTTGGTCTTGGGTAAGTGAGTGAAGGAGCGAGTCTGACTCAGTGATGGACTGGGTTTGGGCCGACTTGGACCAGATCTGGATGAGGTGTTGAAGGGTATTGTTGGGAACGAAGTCTTTGGTTTGTAGGACTTGCATGGTGGCCGGACAAGTGTTGTTCCCGCCGTCGAGCCACCTTTGGATGCTGGAGCGGTCGTATGTCACTCCAGTGCAAAGGCTCACAGGGGATTTCATCACGTCCAGTGAGATCGGGCACCGGAACAAGCTCGGCACCGTTATATACAGATGGTCTTTCACCATTTTCAGATACAGAATTATCAAGGGAGAGAGAGAGAGATTGTGAAGAGGAAAAAAAGTGAGTTCTGGTGAGACAAACTGAGCGAGTTTTAACTTACCGAAAATAAAAAACTGAGCGAATTTTAGAGAGAGAATACGCAGAGGGGATGGTATAGACTGGATAGATAAAGAGAAGGAGAGAGCGAGAGAGGGAGAGAGGTGAAGGTGGGAAAGGGGAATAGGGAGTGGTGGTTTATTAAGATGGAAAGAGTCAAAGGTTGGGTGACGTCAGGGTACTTTACAGGATTTTTTATTGGTTCTTTGGGCTGGTCTGGTCAATGAAAGGTCCTTCACACTATTTCTTTATTCAATGCACTGTTCATTATATGTTGGCATTTATACCTTAGCTTTGTGTCCTACCAATCACATGTCGTATAAGTCAACGACGACCGCTGAAAATAAACCAATCAAAGTGATTTGTAACTTTGCATCTAAAATTCTAGTTATGTTACCGAATTATTATTTTTTGGTACTGTTTTTCTTTATTTAATAAAAATATGGCCCATATAAAGTTTTTATATATATTTTAAATTTTTTTATTAATAATTACATATCATTCAATTTAAAATAAATAACTAGATGAATAGAGATATGATACCAAATTAAATACTTAAATTTATCCTACACTTAAAGGTTGGACAACTTAATGTCATTTCAAAACTGAGTCATATTAAAGTGTCGTTATATCTAAGTTGTGAAATTGTAGATGGTAGATGACGCACAAATTGATATTACGTAAGATCAACAGTTGAGAATGTGTAAGAGTACAATTAATGAGCAATAAATAAGCAATCAATGACAAACCAGTAAATAATAACAAACACACAAATTTATAGTGGTTCGGTTTGGATGACCTACTCTACTTTCTGAAAACGGCAGCGATGACCGGAAGTATTTTATTGATGAACAAAAGTCACCGGAAGAGTATGCTCCGGGGCATTACAATGCCTTAGGAGAGAGATACTAGGTAGGTGTAGGGGTGTCAAGCGTATTTAGGTTAAATGGTTACGTGTCGAGTTAAACGGGTGACGGGTGAAAAATATATATACCCGTACACAACACGATCAATAAACAGATTAAAAATCTCAATACGAACACGACATGACTCGTTTAACCCATTTAATTTTAAAAGAATTATATCAACAAATTTTAATATTCTATTTTTTTTTACTACCAATTGCGCTTACCCAAAAAAAAGAAAATTTTAGCCAAATCTCATAAAAAAAGACTTGAAGGCTTAAAAAAAAACAAAACAAGAGGTCATTGCCTTTATAGGCAACTCAACCCTCCCTATCTCTCCTCATTTTTCAATGTGGGACAAAAATAAAAGGCATTGATTTGCCTTTGTTTTTGAAGTGCTCCCTCATCTCCTCTCATTTGTCTTTAAACTACTACTTTACTTCTTTTTTTTTTGGCTAATTTTTTAAAATAATTACTAATTTATTATTATATTAATTTATTTAAACAGGTAAACGTGTGATAAACAGATTGACAGATCTCACCCGAACACGACCCATTTATTAAACGTGTTTAGCGTGATGCCCTCCATGTGGAGTGGACTTACATTATATAGTTTTGGTGAGACGGTGAGACAGTCACTACTTCTTAGTAAATACAATTATGGTAGAATTAAATGTCTGTAATGCGTATCCCGAGATTCTCTGTCACGTGCTCCTATCCTTTTGGTTTCCTATATCCTGAGCTGGGTTGGATCGTCAAAGTGAGGAGGGATACCATTGAAGCGGTGCTAAGGAAGAGAGAACTAAGAACAAAGGAAAGCCAAGGGGCCAACCCATGGGCGGCACCAGGAGCCTTGGGTGACCCTTTGGGCGGCACCCCTTGGGAGACTTCCTTGGGTGGCGCCCCCTTGGGTGGATCCTTTGGACGTTGGGGACTTGGGCTCCTTTTGGCCTGGTGACTTGAACCCCTCTTGATTAATTGAGTCTTTGTTTATTAGGCCTAACCCAGTTGATTCCGGGCTCATTAGTAACTATGTATAAATTGAGACATATAATTTCTTAGCTCGAAAAATGAAAGATTAGGATACACTTTTCTTTTCACAAAATTCACTACCAATATATTCTGATAAGGTAAACTATTTTATTCATATTATTTAATCTACGATTGTAAGTGTTTATACCCAAAAATAGTAAAATCTAAGGGCACATGTGGAAGAGATTCAACACGTAGAGATAGGTACATTCACCAACCCAAGGGGCTCGAGGCTTCCAAAAATTGCCTCTTGTGAGAGCTCTACATCAGTGAAGATGGCCGCGAATGAAGAACCATTGCGTTTTCAAATGTGGCGCAAAGGAGGACATCATTCTTAATATCTTGTCCCTCGTCTACTTGAGAGTGCGATACGAAAGGAACAGTGGAAGAACATCGCCGCTTGTTCTTGTAGCGAAACAACCTGAAGTTAAATAAAGGCAAAAAGGGAAGTCCAGACCAAGCCTGCCCTAGGAGATGACTGAACATGCGATGGGAAGTTTATATAGTTGAGAGCAGAGGTCGTGTCATTGTCAAATTGCCGAGAAACAAACCGCTTCCATGAAGCTTTGGCAACCTTTGAGACATCAAATGACTTGGTGAAAGAGGTCAAGTGGAAGGAACGACAAACAAGAGAGTTATGATGGATGACTTCCCGAACATTAACATCGGCTAAGTTAGGCCAATTGGTTAGGTTAGTGTTGAGAGTGCGGATGAAAAAATAGAGAATCTATTGCACCAAGACAAATTGGCGAGCAAAGTGCTGAGGCATGTAAACCTCGATGCCATAGTTAGCAATGACACCATAGGTCGGCCCTAGGCTGTAATGCAAATCTCGAGGGTAGAGATAGTAGAACTAGGCATCATCATGAGAGACTCCCCAAGTTTATAAAGGAACTATTCTAGCCCTCATTTTCGTGAAAATGACATCCAAATGGGTCGTGAACTCTTCAAATTGTACAAATAAGAAAAGCAGTTTGCGAAGGACTACTCTTTGGAAGGGGCTGCGACAAGTAAGTGTTCGTAAGAGAAAGATGTATTGCTAATAGGTGGGATGGAAAGCTTTGGGAAGTAGGTGCGAAGCCACAGCTGCCTCCATTTCCCACATCCTATAATAGAGACAGGTGAGCATTATAGGAGTAAGAGCATAAAAAGCTCCTGCGACTAAATTGATGGCCAATAGAATATACTCCTTAGTAACCTTTATAAGATGATGTGCGAAAGAAGAATTGGTTGAGCCAGTAAAGCAGGAATAAAATGTGTTCCTTGTTCAATACTAAAGAGTAATCACACCCACGGCAGGCCGGAATAAAAAGGGAATAATCAATAATCGGGTTGTTATGCGTATCAGTTAGAAAGGTGTAGCTCGCTTAAGCATAAGTAAGCAGAGCGTTAGCCTCGTGTTGCATACAAAATTTTGCATAATTTTTTATCTTAAACCAGTTACTTTAGCTTTGCTTATTAATTATATACTTTATTTTAGTCAAACTGCAAAGTAGTGGAACCGAAATAGGAGACACTATGGCAAAAAATTTAGAAAAAGGCTAATTGAACTAGTATGTGTTCCACTGCTTCATCAGGATGAATAATAGGTTCTACCAGTTCATTATTCCTATGATGTTCCAACAGCATGGCTTGACCCACGGTGCTCGGAATTATGTCATCAATGAATCATCAACTTGCAAGTTAAATATCTATGATATTCCAATGGCATGGCTTGACCTCCAAGAGTATTGAGGATGTTCTATGGTAGCATGGTACCATTCTCAGATGAATAACGTAAATGATCCTCATGAATGGCTCTACCTTTTGGGTTATTACGGTTGTTTAACTGATACATATTATTGTCTTGATCTGAAATGTGTACACCCAAGTGCAGGCGGTCAAGCTCTAGTAATAATCCGATGAAGTCCGGAGTGAAATCCACAGGGAGCTATGATTGGTGTTTTGAAGCAAGCAGTAATAAAGACTAAGTAACTTTTGAAAATTTCGCGTGTTTGGAGTGGTGGGGTTTTCTTGATTAGAATAGAAGATTCTTTTCAAGAGTTTTCTAGAAAAAATATAAGATTCTCAAAATGTAATAGCCATCCTTTAGCTCGAGGATTAGAACATGTAATTGATTATCCGGTTTATTATGTTTGTGCTGTATGACTCAATTAACTCCCGTGTCAACAGCAAGTTAATCGGAGGATAAAGATGGACTGTAAGGATTAAGCACATGATTCCGATGCCTTTCTAGAAGTTTACAAGAATTGTCTGTGCCGAGACTTAACCCGTCTACAAACAAGCAAGTGTTTCTAAAAGGCCTCCAACCATGGCATTAATGGTCCATTCTTTGAATAAAGCGCAATAATATTGGAGATTGAAAAGATGTCATGAAGAGCTAGCCGGGGTGCTTGCCTTGAACCACACGGGTCTTTCTATGCAGGAGTCATCCGTATCACAGAAGGAACCTTTGCTTATACAAAGTACCTTATCTTTTCTAGATGCATTCAATCATCCAATAAACAAGTGGAATATAAAGCATTTAAAGCATGAGAAATTGCACAAACATAACTTTTGGATAATCTTTACATATTCATCACCTCTTACTAAAGAGTAAATAAGGAACTACTCACTCATCATGGCTTTGGTCATGCTAGACAAGTGAGTGATACTCATCCCTCCAAGTGGAGGAGCTACTTAGTGAGAGTACAATAAACGAAAAGGTAATCTTCAACGAAGAATAAGTGAATCACGTCCCACCCTTCACGGCTTTGGTAAAGTTCTAGAAAAGTGGAAGAGTTTCACTCTTTTAAGAAAGAAGGATGCTCGAGCAATGGAAGTGAAATACATGAACAAGAAAAGTAGAAGAAAGCTAGTTGCTTTTGGAGGGTTTCCACCACAACCAAAAGATTAACTACCTCTCTTGATACTTGTAAGTGAAAGCAAGTACAACTACAAGGGGAGTCTAAGCCTCCATCATGGTTGTCATAACATGAATGTAAAGACTTAGCATAAGTAAATGAAAGACTTCAACTACAAGGGGAGTCTAAGCCTCCAACATGGTTGATATAAATGGAAAATGAAAGCATAAACATGAAGTATTCAAGAACTAGATCACTAAACATTCTTACAAGAATAAAGATTGCTCCCCTATTTACTCTACAAGAGG